ATTTGAAAATACTTTTTTGACACTTTGTTTTTAATAAAAGTCTTTGGGACCTTCAAAATTAATTATCTTTTTATGATGTCATATTAGCGTATGTCGTCTGCTGGGAGACACAATACAAGTATGTTAGCAAATAGTGTACTCCCCTAGTAATATTTGACTGTGCGTAAGCCTAAGACGTATATTGATAATAGGTAATCTGTGATAACCACTTAATTAGAGCTGTAAACTAATCTGTATGAACGTGAATCCAATAAACTTTACCGTTTGACGCATTGAAAATCTATTTTTTCTATTAGGTTAGATTAGGTTAAATGGCTGATTCTCATGATGAAGATCCGTGAAAAAAACCAAATCCTTTGTGAGGCCAAGAAATTCTCTTAGTTAGATCTCACGTATTCACAAAGCCGCTTGGGCCCATAGCAAATTTGCTTAAGCGTTTAATTTCAATTCCCTTTAGTTCAACTGGATGTATGAAGAAGTGAAATCCAGTCCTGATCTAGCAAAAGCAAGACAGTCAAGGAGAAATTGTTAAGATGATTTTACTATCGTCACCTTTCGAACAGCTGACTTTTAATAACCAAGTGTGCTTCGATTGGGCAATAACCAGTTAAACCCCATAAAGTTAGGAAAAGTAAGCCCTGCTAAGAGTAAAGCGTCTCCTAGACTTCTTGCAATTTTATTTAATTGACCAGGCAATTTCTCGAGAGATTTAGCCATCTAGCGGTAAACCCCAAGTATACTGCAGTGCTTCGAGCAGCGAATATAAAAATTAAACTGAAGTGTCTATTTAGCAAATTCTGGTAGACGCTATTGTTTTCACTTATCTAATAAACGAATGGTCAGAATCCCCCGATTGGTACTCTCAATAATATCTAAAATAGAAAAAAGCATATTGAAAACCACTCTTAACTATTGGGATATACTAATATATAATATATGGTGTAGTAATAATAAATTAATTATTTTTACATGAAATTGAAGGGTTTAATTACCATAGTTAGAATGTTCCGATTTAGATCAAATATGCGCCGTTTTGTTAGATAACTTGTTGTCATTTTAAGGGTAGTTTTATTATTCCTTCGTTTCTATTGGCAAAAAAATTGAGACAATTGATTTTCACAAGCCTCTCTTGAAGCGAATTCTTTCGAATTCGGTCCAATCGTTGACAGTACAGTTCCGAGTTAAGAGTTTGCCGTATGGGAGCAGCTCATAGTAGATAATTCCCTGCCAATCCCTCCAAACACACAGCAAAATCTTCCTGGCCGTCAATCCTTGGCCAACGTTTCCGCCGGCTCACCGCGTTTTGACCACGACCGTTTTCGCTTGACGTTGTCATAAGTGACTCACTTTTCACCGTCAGTCACCAACCGCTTCAGAAATGGGTCGATTTTGTTGCGATTCAGCAGCGATTCGCAGATGGAAATTCGGTCCATGAGGCTTTTTTGCGATAACTCGTAGGGCACCCATACATCGAACTTCTTTTCGTATCCAGCCTTATTCAAATGGTTCCAAACGGTTTTTTGTGCAATCTTTAACTCTCGGACTCGACAATTTCCATGATCAGTATCAGGATCATAAATGCTATTCACATTTTCATCCGTCTGGCTTGCGTTTTCGCCCTTATCGAAGAAAAAGTGTACAATAAAGCTATTTTCTCTTTGCTAGTGTCCATCTTTGACGCGAGCTCAAACAAAACTGTATCAACCAATCACATAACCGTCAAAAAAGCTTTTTTATTACGAAATGTCATATTTCTAAGGTCAACTAGCGAAACCCGATCGGACTTATAAAACGCGTGATACAGATAAATAACGCCATCTATTGGAAAAATAATGGATTTCTCTTTACTACATCTAATATATAATATATAATAGTTGTCCATACAGGAACATGATTCTGATCATTCAGTTTGTATGGCAGCTGGTCCGATATCAGCTGTTTCGACAAATGAGCAGCTTCTTGGAAAGAAAAGTACATGTGCAAAATTTCAGATCGATATCTCATAAACTGAGGGACTAGTTCGCGTATATACAGACAGACGGACGGACAGGTATGGCTAAATCGACTCAGCTCGTCATGCTGATATTTTATATACATATATCTAATATATACATATATGTATTTTATAGGGTCTAAGTTTCCTTCTGGGTGTTACAAACTTTTTGGCAAGCAACTTAATATACTCTGTTCAGGGTATAATTATTGTACACGCGCTGTAAAACTTGCCCAGACAGGAAGCCACAAACTTCATTTTTTAATATTCGCTCAAATTCAAAATATTCCAAACTTTCAACATTTTATATTTAAACATAAACACCCTTCCCGCCTGCGTATCAGTTAATATAAATTATTTCTAAATTTATACAAAGTGCTTTCACTGATCGCGGAGCACCGTTCGCCGCCGCGTATGAGTAACATTCATCATTAAAGTCAAATCAGTGTAAATGCGCGCAGCAAAACGCCAAAATCACGACCACGTGCTAAATAATAAATCAACAAATCAGACTACAAACCGAAAATAAAAAGCGGCAACAACAAACACTAAAAGAAAAAATAAATAAAAAATGTAGAAATAAAAAAATATAAACGAAATTAAGCACAACACCAATCAACAGTTGACAAACGATGATTTAATTTACTGCGGCAGCGCAGCTTTTTGCTGACACTGCGACTGAAGCCGCGTGCTTAGTCAGCAGTGGCAGAACCGGAGCAGTCGCAGCCGCCAGCAGCTGAATGACGTCGAGCGGCAAAGTGTTTCGTAATCGAGTCGCTGGAAAGTCATTTACCCAAAAATGTTATGTGGAGCACACACAGTGTAAGCGACAAAAATTGATACGCTATAGCCAACAAAAATATGCGCTACGCAAAGTTGTTGTGGTCAAAAAAAAAAACAAAAAGAAAAGAAAAATTATTAGTGACTGCGAGGTATCACGTGAGTGAGCAGCACATTAAACAATAAGTATAAAAAAGAAAATAATAAAAAAGTTAAAACCAAAACAATTCTGGAAATGTAGACATAATATGATTAGAGCACTGATTTTTGGCAGAAAAAATATAGCCTTGCGATTCTAGATGAGTTCGGGACTATCACTTGGTGTATCGTTGATTCAAATCCTAGCTGAAACAAAATTCACTATTATGGATTTTAAAAACAGAGGAAAAACGTTAACTTCGCCCGCACCGAAGCGTAATACCCATCACAGGTGCATAGCGTTAAAGGATATTTTCTTGATTTTGATAAGTCAGAGTCGTGTTTATGCAGACAGACAGACGGACGTGGCTAAATTCACTCAGCTTGCCACGCTGATCATTTATATGTATACATATATGGTGCCCAGTGCCGTGCGTTGCGTTCGCAATCGTAATTAATAAATTTGTAATTAATTTTAAAATTCAACTCTGTCAGATATTGTAACAAGAATCAATAAAGCTGCTGCTTCTTTCCCTTTTCATCGTCAACGCTCAACTAATACGGACGTGCCTTCCTCCATCCTTACATATACCTTATAGCGTCTCCGACGTTTCCTTCTTACTGTTACAAACTTCATGGCAAACATAATATACCACGTTCGGGGTATAAAAAGGTCATCCAAGTTAAGTAGGCCTGCGATCTTTAAGTATATTTCTGTTTTGTAAAAGTTTTTAGAACCTTATTATTTCTTACCACTTATTTCTTAGATAAAATTTAAAGGAGCTCCAACAAAACGAAATTTTAACAAAAATTGTATGAACGGTATTATTATAACCATTTAATTTTCATAACGAAAATACATTTTTCAAGATTCTAAAATACAAATGTTGTTAATTTTGTTGTTGTGGTCTAAAAAATGTCATGAATAATTTTGAAGAATTCTAGCAATTAATTTCCAGTGTTTCCAGAGTCATTCGATTATTTAAACACGATCTCTTCAATCCGTTAAGATATCTTACCGTTCAGACTACTCTTCAGGATTGTAATACTAGGTGGACTAGGACTAGGTGTGAATATGCTGTATGTGAATTTAATTCCGAATAGAAATAATCGATATACTATTTCGATAAAAAAAACAACTTTGGCTTCTTTGGATTAAGTCCATCCAGAGTATTCCAGTAGTTGGATTATTCCTTGATCTCCTATGTACCCTAAATGACAAAACAACGTCTCATCTGAATATCGTCGTGAGTAGTTGCGGCCCTCATGGCTAAAATATATTGATCTTGCTCCGTTTAAATGTCCACAGCCACCGTTTTTTAAATACCATTAACATCTAATTCTCCAATCTCGTTTCTGAAATTTTTTCGAGAGTTTAATAACCGAATATCTTAAAAATTTGACTGAGTTTTCGGCCTAACTTGCGCTATTTCGACCTTAACAAATTTTCCTGTTTTCGGAGGTTTTTGCATCGTATTCGATTTTCACACGAAGTATATGAAGTTGAAAATAATCAAGATTTGCTCAGAAAGGCTAAGAAAGCAACGAATCTAAAGTTTTATTTTAACTATAGAAACTGACAGTACCCAGCAACAACATAAAAACAGGCGAATTTCGAACTTCAATTAGTTGAAGACTTTGCATTTTGTTTTCTACACGCATATCATTGCGTGTTGCATAGACAGCGCTTTCTAGAAGCTCCAGAGCACATAAATTCTTAAGAATCGACCCTTGCCACTGTTTTCTTGTTTTCCAAAATGCAAAGAACCTATAACAAGTCCATATTTTACCACGATTCCGCAGATAGAGTCCACAACGCTGGTTGAACTTAAGGATATACGAGAAACTTGCATAGGAGTATGCTTGAGGAATCGAAAAAAGCGCTTAGACATGCCTAAGTAGTGACAACTTTAAGGCGTGCAAAGTAACTTTCCATGAATAAATCCTATCTTGAATACACGTCTTACTTCTCCCACTTGAGTACGCACAGCTCCACCAAACTGATAAAAATCAAACATACTCAATTGCACTCTCATAAAGCTCATGAATATGGAGCAACACTGAGAACGTGCGCTTTCAATTGAAACGAGTGGGACCGATCACGCGAATTCGCAAGCGTTAGTCATAACGGTTAGGCAGAAAAAATTACGCTGAGCCGCAGCAGCAAAACGCCAACAGGCTGGCAATATCAGTAAGTAACGTAGTTAAAAAAAAAACACAGAAACAATAACAACAACAAATAATACAGTAACCATAGCAGCGTATGGGACAACAAAAAATCTTACAGTTATGTCGTAATAACGAACATGCAACGAGTGACATCACTGTTGAGCAAATGAGAGAGCGTACACGATCGCGGAGTGCGCTGAAATTCACCACACTTGATAGCGCCACGACAAATACTCGAATCTCGTACGAGAATAAGTAGACAAATTAATTAATTTGTTAACAAATAGCGAACAACAAAGCACAATAACCACAGTCGCACTTACACTAGCTAAACAATTAATGACAAAAGTATCGAGCAATTAAAAAATAGTTGCGCATATAATAAATACATACTCGTATGTATGTATGTAGATGTGTATATATGTATTTACTTATGCGTTTGTGTTCGCATTAGATTGTATAATTGTAATGAGCGCCTTTTCTGAAGTAAACGCAGTCCGATCGCTTGAACGCGTCACGATTTATAACGTCGATTTTTTATCATCGCCTCTTGCTTGCTTGTATTCTTATTTATTTATTATTAATTATTTTTGTTTTAATTTTTTCATATTTATTCTTTGTGTGTATTTCTTCACTTTTGTTTTGACTACATAAATCAGTGGCGGATGACATCAGCAGCGGTGACCGCGCACGTTTGGGTTGCCAGCTTGCCAGCTAGTTATCGCTAAAGAGGCTCTCCACGCAAATCGGAACGCTAATAATTATAATAACTATTCAATTGACAAGTCTTTGATGCTTAGCTTACATATATACATATATACATACATATACATATGTATATATATTAATTTGTATAAAATATTTACGGAGAATTTGCACAATAAAATTTTTGATTTGATGTGAAATTGCTTGAATAAAGGATGACTTAATAGTCGAATAGACTTTTAAAAACGAAATTCGTTTTTTTTCTTGTAAAAATAACATATCTCGGTAAACAAACAATGCATAATTTGAAGAAAAAAAAAATTAACTAATTGTGAGAAAATCTATTTAATCAACATTAATCTAAAAACCCAACTGCCCTTCTCGAGCATATTAAAGTGTGCTCTTTTTGTTACATTTTTAATAAGTTTTTCAAGCTTCTCGAGAGACATGGTGTCACAAAAAGAAGTCAGCGAAAGCCAAATCTGAAGAACTGAGTGATCAGTCGATGTCACCAAAATAGTATGTGCAAATAAGCAAATTTTGTGGATTCTGAACAACACTCTTTGACAGTTGCAATCAGTTGATTTAAAGAACTGTATGTTGATGATCGCTCCCTTAATCTTGGCGCTACCATGACCTGATATTAGTGCTTTAACAACTTCCGAATAACAGAGATGCTACCGAGGACTCTTAGAAATAAGTAAAATTTCGAAGAAAAGTTGGAACATTCATATAAACACTCTGAAAGGTTATAAACTATTACAATTAGTGAACTGGTATTAATTTTCCGTAATCTCCCAAGGTTTTGAAAATTTAAAAGGTAGATATCGGTAAAATTTAGCATTTTCCAACCACAGCAACACCTATCGCAATGCTAATTGGTTCGGAGCAAATACATAAGTATGTCACAATAATTTAGAGATAGATCATTCGATTTTTCCCCTTCGAATGTGTTCTTCATAAAAAAGGCTCACTAAAATGAAATCTAATATTTTACAATTTTTTAAGAAATCTGCGTAAAAATTCACTTTGAAGTGTTGAACTCCATTCACATATGTCCAAATATTGTGGAAGAAAATGTATCGCAACCCGTGTAGTGATTAGATTAAGAAACATGGACATTAATTTGATTCATAGTTGGATTCTCGTAAAATGTATGCCTTGGCTTATGCTCAATCTTTTCTGTGGAGGCTAATTCAAATGCAATGGGTATGCAATCTAAAAGCGAAGCAGGCAGACGCTATATCTATTCCGCGAAGTTTTCTACTGATCTTCAGTTCAGTTCAAATGCAAAAATATTAACTGGGACAGTAAGAAAGCAATTAAAACCGAGTTGATATATTTTGTATGTGAAGTAATAGTAGATTACTTATTTTTTTAACTAATTATTAAGACCTCTTTATTTTCAGCATGCTTCGGTATTGTATTTAACGCTACTAAATAGATGAGTATTAAGGAGGATCGGTGTTTGCCCTAACGGCTCACGATTTGAGTGAGTGTCTTAAGGAGTGATTGGCACAATGCAATGAGCCTGTAGAATTACAGTTAACCCACTTTTTCAAAAGTTAAACTCAAGAAATTTGGAAGAGGTTGATTCTATTTAACTGAAAAAACATCAACTAGACTATCGCTTTTGGGTCCCTTTAACTTGCGAGTTAAATCATCATATTAAAATGTACTCTTAAGTTCTAGTGTTACTCATTAAAAGAAATAGTTTCAAATGAGTAATAAGTGGAGTCGTGTCGGATGGCCGAAAAATTCTACGAATACAATAAAAATTATTATGCAAATTAATACAATTTTTTTTTAATATTTATATATTATATATAAGTATACATGTATATGTTTATGTTGGCCCTTCCTTAACCAACTAAAGACACAGTGGGTCAAGTTGCTCTAAATTAATCGCAAATTGTATTTATTTTTTACTTTACGCTACAGTGAATGACCAGATGTCTAGTCTTGCTTTTCATTTTACATTAACTTTTCTGATCTTTATTGTTGGTTTTTTATTTATTATTTTCTTACAAGCAATTTACAAACTGACATTTAAGAGTTAACATAGGTGTTGGTGTACCTACATTACTTACAGTTAAATGCGATTTAACCTACCAACACCTGTACTAACATACAGGCACACACATGCAGGAAGTAAATCTGTATGTATGTATATATCGATGAAAATTGAATCCAATATGGCAAATAGTAAACAAAATCGAAGAATGATGGAAACACGCCGTTTGGCATCGGCGCCAAAACGCAATTTTTTTTTTTTCATTTTATACTTTGTTGTCGTTATTCTGTGCTATAATGAGCTTATTAAAATATTCAGCAGTCGTTAATCGCCTAGCGTTTGTTTGCTGCTCAGACACTTTTTACCTTTGCGAATATGTAATTTTGTATATATGAAAACAAAAAGTATTTTCTTTGTTTGTTTTTGTTTTCTTTTGACTAGGCCTTTGCTTCCTTGGGTTTTGTGCGTCCCTTCATTGTTTTGTATGTATGTATGTAAGCAAATATTTATTGCTTACAATTTATATGGGGCATATTTTCATACATACATATATTCATATACATATACGATTACATACATATATATTTACATACATACATATAAATATGTATTTATATATATCTACATTTACATGTACATATGTATTTTGGTTTACATGAGTGCACATTAGGGTGTATTTAAGAAATATTTCTCAGTCCAGTTATCTCTCTCTTCTTTTACAGAGCACCGAAGAGCTGAACTAGGAATTAAGAAACTGAGAAAAAACTGTTTAGTGTTAGTTGAGGTACCACTTTGGTAACTAAGTAACGTCTGACATTTTTCCATGCTTTGACATACGCGTCTAACGTTTACGACAACTAAGTGTTCTAGTGTTCGCCTGTTAAGAAGATGGGTCCACATATTTCCCGACAATTTTAGAACTAAATCCTTAGCTATTCAAAAAAAAGGGTTATACATCTCTCGACTATTTAGCAATACTGAATTGGATACAGATTTAGATAGCTAGGATCTCGATCTACATAAATACATACTACTCTGGACTTAACCAATCTAATATATCTAGAATCAAGAGAAAGGTCTCCAAAATCTAAAAATTTGAATATTTCTTCTTAATAGATGCGATGCCTTCTACTCTTAATTTATTAAAAAATAGCAACATTACATCAAAGCAGCCCTAATATACAAGTGGTATATTTATATACATATAGCGATCAGACATCATCGATTTTTTGCAACCTTCTTATACACTTCAACTATAAATCATTTAGCGAGGCGTTTTGGCCATGGTCAAGGTAATCCGTAGACGCTTACAATAAATAATATAACGCTCACTTATTGCTAGCAAAGCACATGACTTAGTAAAGAGAAAGGCAAAGTTCACAATTAACCGTCATGGACCTCTGCTCTCTAACAAGTAGACAGCTATTTACAACAGATTAAACTTTGTTTCCCATCGGACTGCCGTTAATCTTTCGCAGAACTACTCGTCTTAGTTTTAACCCAAACTCGGATGAACGTTAGTATCATCTTAGCTCATATTTTGGAACTTTTCCAATATCTTAAGAAAAAATTGTTTCAGAAAAAGATTCGTCTAGACACAAATCAGACCGAAAGTAGTGCTATCTATTCGGAAGGAAATCAAATCCACACAGAATTTTCGAAGGTGGGATCAATAACGGAACACAGACTAACTATCGCAAATGCAAAAACTCCGCGAAGAAAGTTTACAACACTTATAGAAGTTGATATATATATCGATCTGAAATTTTGCGCCTCTGCTTTTCTAACCAAGAAGCTCCTCATTTGTCGGAACGCAACCGAAATCGGACCTCTATTGCGTATAGCTGCCATACAAACTGAACAATCGGAATCAAGTGCTAGTATGGAAAACTCTTTCAATTGACGAGGTATCTTCACAAAATTAGGCATAAATTATTGTCTAAGACAATAATGTAATCTCCGAAGAAATTGTTCAGTTCAGATCACTATACCATATAGCTGCCTTACAAATTGACGGATCGGAATAAAGTTCTTTGAAGGGTATTATAGCTTCGGTGCAATCGAAGTTAACGTTTTTTCTGGTTTTTTTCCAAGATAGCGGTAGTGACGCGAAGCGATCTCTGATTATGATCGCAGATATCGCCAAACAAAAGGATCTTGGCAATACTATTTAAGCCGCTATATTTGTAGAGCTCCTAAATCGTAGTTTACGAGTATCTTCACCCGTAGCTTTGTTATTAATTAGCTAAGCTAGTAAGTTTCAAACTGTCTTTTAATCGATTCATGAAATCTTATTTCGATAAGCTTAAATTTGGTTCGGGTCCAACGTTTCCTCTTCGCATCTCACACCTCTCAGTTTTTAAGAAAATCGGGTAAGTTTTCGTACGTTTATAAAAGTATGGAGAGCAGCCACGTATAACAACTACTAGGGCAAACTTTCTTATTTTTTATCTTATCTGTATTCTCCGTGGAGAATTACGAGTACACCACACTGCGACATACGAATGTGTAACAGTTTAGACTTTGGATGTTACGGCACAAGCTTTATAAGAATTAATGAAAAATACTAAGTTACCTAACTTTTTAATGAACTCTGAACAAACATGTTTATTTAGAAAAAAATAATATCGCGCCAATTATATCTTTTCTAATCGCCGAGAAGAAAGCTGAATGTTACTTTGAGACAAAACTAAATTCTCGCAAATGGCAAAACAAACTGTCAATAACTGTGCATGAGAGCAGTCAGTAGAATTTCAACTGTCAATTTATGTGAGATGGAGGCAAGAGCAAGAGGAGCAAACGAAAGCAAAAACTAAAACTTACTATCCTCAGCCAACACAATCGCGCTTGCTGAAGTCAACTATTGTTTTCGAACTACTTGTTAAAAGGAATAAAAGATAACTTGGCGGCTAATTGGAGTTTAAGAAATGAGATTAAACTTTAACCAACCGACAACCCGGGCAAGCGAAGAGGAACGTCGAACGACGTCGAGTGAGAAGGAGGTGTGGGGAAAACTAAGAATTTCCTATAAAATTCCAAAAAAACTTATTATTTGTTTGTTCGGGCGTAATTGTAATGATTTAATTTCAACGTCAATGAGTAAGAATAAATAATTCAAATCCATTAACAACTAAAATTATCGGCTCTAACTGACGTCAAAACTTACTAATGATCTTATTGCTATGAACTTAGAAATGTCCAATTCAAATGGTCACAACTAAATGTGTGTTATCTTGT